ATATAAGTATACTGTAAAAAAGAGTGAAAAAAACTCATAAAGATCAAATAAAGTCGGACACTGCCACTTTAGAATTGGATCAAGATCGACACAGACAGGACACTCTGTGGGAGTACCGATACAGCCTGTGTGGGTAAGATTGGTAGAGACAACAACGTCAGTGGCTTCGAGGTCACTTGTGAAATATTAGCACCTGCTCCGTCCTACAGGCTGAGCTTTGGAGGGTCTAGATGGTCTAGAACTAGTTTGGAACCTAGGTTCAAGTAATGTTATCTTAGAGATGAATAGTGCACTTGCAGTCCAAATTTTGAATAGAGTTCTCAATAAAGAGTTGATTCCTCTCAATGCTAACTCTAACCTGATTCTGACTATCAAAATTTAGTTACTAAAAGATTGGAATGTCAATATACAATATGTCTACCATGAGAGAAATCGTTGTACTGATTACTTGGCGAATCAGGCATTCTCGTAGCTCTCTGGATCTTATTACATGCAACACCTTCCTACAGATCTCCTAAGCATCATGAGAGAGGATTTCATTGGGGTGTCCTGGTTTAGAATGTGTAATCTCTACATTTATTTTTATGTTGTGCTTGTTTTGCGTTTGTATCATTTTCTTTGTATTTAAAAAGAAAAATCAAATAGAATATAAGACTTTAAACTTTCATGTAGTAAAAGAAAATTAGAATTCTGATCGCGTGACGGTTGAAAAATGAATCGTAATTAATTATGAATTATATATTATTTCTCTATAAAAGATATTTATTCAACTTCATTAACATATCTATTAAAAATTTTTGCATACTTAGACATTGAGTATGATTAATTGGTTTTAGTTTGTTGAATGTAATTAAATTGTGAAAAACGTGTCATCTATGACAAAAAATTTTCCTATCCAATTGACAAAACTTACCTAAAACATGCTTGGGGGAAAAGAATAAAGAGACTGTGAATGAAGATTATCAAAATGTGTATACCCATCTTTTTTAAAATACTTTAATTTGTTAACAATTACTTTTTAAGGGGGGAAAAATCATTAGAAGGCTAAATTCATAGGAACCCATATACATACATACATACATATATATATATATATATATTTGAGATGGGATAGGGACATGTTACAATTTCAAGTCATTAACTCAACTGTTACAACTTTTTTAAATTAGTGTATTTTCTTTTCTCTTAATTAAAATTTAAGAAATAAAAATTCAATAACGATAAAATATGTTCTTTATACTCAATTTATAGCCATTCTTACAAAATATGGAATAGATTTTTCATAAATAAATAATTAATATACATACGTGGACATATATGTGTACATGTATAGTTGTAAAGTGATTTTCACAATCAATTTCGTCACTTTCAAAACGGTAGCTCCACTCCACCCAACGAAACCTTCCATTTCCCAAGTGTTTTTGCACACTAAACTGTCATAATTAATTTTATGCATGCTATGCCACAAACATAGACATACACACACACACACACACACATATATATAGAGGTAATCATGTATCATTTGTTAATTATGGGCACAAACACCATTACTCCACATTAACATATCCATTTAAGATGGGTACTAGCAGATCAGTCTAAATTAAAACGTGTGGAAAATTAGTCTACTAATTCCGACGGAGAAAGCTAAGAAAAAGCATACACGGTAAACAAGCAGTTCCCTTATTTCTTTTTTTTTTTTTTTTTTCATGAATGAAATTAATTAATCATAGCTCCGAGAAAGAATATATGAACTTAATCTTCAATAAGTCTCTAAAAAAAAAAATGAAAATTAATCTCACAGCTGTATGATCTTTTCTCTCTAAACATCTGTAAAAGATTATAGATTATCAGAATCAAGAAGATGAGGGTAAAAGTAAAGGGGTGGATTGGGTATGATCTTTTACGCAGTAGCAGTG